TACCTGGGCCTCTCACTGTTGTGGCCTCTGCCATTGCGGAGCACAGGCTCCGGACGCGCAGGCTCAGTGGCCATGGCTCACGGGCCCAGCCGCTCCACGGCATGTGGGATCTTCCCAGACCGGGGCACGAACCCGTGTCCCCTGCATCGGCAGGCGGACTCTCAACCACTGCGCCACCAGGGAAGCCCCCATTTTAGTTTTATATCAGGAAATGTTTATCATCTTCAATGGACAGAGACAAACATTAAAATAAAAATATATTATTCAAAATTCATAAAAATAAGGTGAAAGAAATTTAAATAAAACTTTCAAATGATGTTCTTTGTAAGTCTGTAGCATTTAAACTTCTGAAGTTATTAAAGCTTAAAACCATACTACCTGGTTTCTGGTACTGAACGTTCAGGTGCTACCTGAACGTTCAGTACACTCTACATACGTATTTATAATAACCAAAATGAAATTTGAACGAAACAATACTTACCCATGTTACACGTGATGTAATGGCACTTGGTATTTTCTTTTTTGTTTTAGTCTAGTCTAATCTTTTTCTTTTTTTAATACATTTATTTTTTTTAATTTTTTTACTTTTGGCTGCGTAGGGTCTTCGTTGCAACGCCCAGGCTTTGCAGCGAGCGGACTGCACTTCGTTGCAGTGCACAGGCTTCTCATTGTGGTGGCTTCTCCTGTTGCGGAGCATGGGCTCTAGGCGTGTGGGCTTCAGTAGTTCTGGCCCGCAGGCTCAGTAGTTGTGGCTCACGGGCTCTAGAGCACAGGCTCAGTAGTTGTGATGCACAGGCCCAGTTGCTCCACGGCATGTGGGATCTTCCCAGACCAGGGCTTAAACCCATGACCCCTGCATTGGCAGGCGGATTCTTAACCACTGCGCCACCGGGGAAGCCCTGGTCTGATCTTTTAAAGAATTTTTTTTTTCATGCTGACTTGCAACACTTTAAATTTATTTCACAATCCTATAATGAGTTGCAGTCAACAGTTTGATAGACAATGCACTGGGTGAAGCCTTAGTTCCCTTATACCAGGGACAGAAGGTAAATTTGTGTTCCGACTGGTGAGGCCAGGAAAACAGGTCCAATTTGTTCAGCCTAGGAAGTCTTCCTAGAATAAGAGGATTTCTGGCGTCATCTCACTACTAAAACCGAGATGGTCTGATGTGTTGCAATCCCAAGGGTGGTTGGAGGAAAAAGAGTTAGGAATGAACACCCAGCAGCAGCAGGTGGAGAATGAGTGGGTGAGGGCCAATGGGCATACTTGCCAGTGGACCTGGTGGCCAGCCTGAAGGTGAGGGAGCTACACTGTGGGGAGGACCATGTGAAGCCCTGCTCTTGACAAAGGACTGTGTACAATAGGGTCTGTTTCTTCCCTAAGGCTGGTGACCTCCCTGACCTTGCCAGCCACACTTCTGGGAATTGTCTCTTAGGCAGAGAGCAGGAATCCTTAAACCCAAAGTCTTCTGGCTTCCATCGGAATCGGATTATGTGTCCATTCTAAGGGACCCCCCCATCTCTCGCATGCTGAGCAAACAAACCAGAGAGCGAGTCCCTTACTGCCAAGGCTAATCACAGGTGTCTTGTTTCATTTTAGGATTTGGTTAGTACCTTGAGGAACTGCAGGCACCAGAGAGAAAGCCTTAGACAGCCAGGTTGGATCGAGAGAGCAGATGCCTGGGAAGCACTCAACTTAACCCCAAGTCTCTCTCCGGGAGGGAAAAAAAAAGGAACAAAGGGAAACCACACTGCAAGGGACTACAAGGCAATGCCAGGATAAGGGAGTTGGAGTGACCTGGGTGATTCTGTGTGGGTCAATCAGGGAGGCCTTCCTGGAAGAGGTGAGTCTTAAGCACTTGGCACAGCTGGTAACTAAGCTTTACAGGCATACCTCATTTTATTGTGCTTTGCTTTATTTTGCTTCACAGATACTGCAGGGTTTTTTTGTAAATTGAAGGTCTGTGGCAACCCTGTGTTGAGCAAGTCTGTCACTGCCATTTTCCCAACAGCGTTATTTTTTAATTAAGGTTTTTTCCTTTTTCTTTGACATAATGCTATTGCACACTTAATAGACTACAGTATACTATAAACATAACTATTATATGCACTGGGAAATCAAAAAATTGTGTGACTCACTTTCTCGCAGTGGTCTGAAACTGAACCCACAATATCTCCGAGATACGCCTGTACCACACCTTTGTTTCTAACTGTGCGCCCTCTTTCTTGCTGGAGTGGAAGATAGACAAAGTATCAGGGAAGATGCAGCCTGCAGGATGGTTCAACACTGTCATGGCGAACACTTCCCCATTCTGCGGCCCTCAGTCTTTGCTTAGCTGGGGCAGTTGCAGAACTGATGAGGTGTCAGTGTCGGGCAGAACCCTTTGTGCTGGCCCAGCAAGCCCTGGGACAGGACACCGCCTCTACACTGAATCTCCATTTCCCCCTTGCAGCCTTCTTCAAGCCCACAGGGAACTCTACCGTTGTCAGCTTGTCTGTGCTATTCTCCAGTTCTAATTTTATTGATTTGTGAATAGGTAATGTAGTCAGGGTTCAAAGTGCAAAACGGTATTCAGTGCAATATCTTTTTCCTACTCCTGTTCCCTCCCTGGACGGGTGCCACCTGAACCCGGTGCTCCCAGTTCTTGTTCTCTAACTATAGCTTTTAAAATCCCATGGGGGGAGGGATGGTCTCACACCTCTCTGTGTCCGTCTGTGTCCCAGCTGGGATGAATTGTCCCACCCCATCACCCAAGGGAGTTTTCCTAACACCATATCTTCCCTCCTCATCCGTATTGCTGCTATCATGGGTCAGATCCCCAAGCTCCTCTTAACTGGCCGTCCAGCTGCCAGTCAGGTCCATCTCCTGGACACGCTCCACCAGCTGTCCTACTACACTTCCTGTAATGCTGGGCTCCCACTAATCCTTTACCGCTCCCCATACCTCAGGTCAAGGGCAAACTCCTTGCCACGATGTCTTGGTTTCAGCCACCGCTCCAGACCCATCATTTGCTACTCCCATCAGGCTTCATACTCCCACCAAAGCAAACTACTTGGAATTCTCTGATGGGCCATGCTGTCTCCTGCCTCTGGGGCTTTCTATGTGCTGTTCCCTCTGCCTGAAATGTGCTCACCTCACTGGCCAACCCCTACTTGTGTGTTAGTGCTCAGCCCAAGCTTCTCCCCTGAGGGGCTTCACAAACATCACGCTCCCCCACGGGCTGACATGACCTCATCCTCTCTCCTTCAGCCCTCGAGGGTGCCTCTCTCATGCTGTCTTCTCACTGGGTGATCTCTGTTTAAAATTTGACTCCCCCAGTTGACTGTACGCTCCTTGAAGGCTGGGCTTGCACATCTCTGTATCTCCTCCATCTGATAGAGCACCTGGCATGAAGCAGGAACTCAGTCAATACTGGCACAATGAACAAATCTCTTCTGTCTCCCAGACAACGCCTAATATAAAATAGACACTCAAAGAGATTTGATTTGATTTGATTTGATCTTTGCAGCTGCTTCTGCTGCTGCATCTGACATTTTAAAAGAAAATGACCTATCCCCCCCACCCACCCAAAGTGACCCCGTTCCCCCTTGATATCATGACAGCCATGTGTGCCCCAAGTGGATCCAAGTGACTCCGAACACCAGGTTTCTCCATAGGCAGCAGCTTGTATGTTTAAATAACGGCGCAGCTCAGCTGGAGTTACTTTTAAGTACGACAGAGTAAGGAGTGTGGCTTTGGCCAAGGACCAGATGTTTAAGGATAATTCCTGGGAAACTGAGCAGGGATTTATTAATGATAATAATAGAACCAATTGAAGGCTGAGTCTGTGCCAGACGCTCTGCCGAGTACTTTACATACATTATTTCTGATTTAATCCTTCCCACCACCCTGTGGGTTAGGTATTAGTTACCCCCACTTTATAGATGAGGAAGTTGAGGCTTAGATTAACTCATTTGCCCAAGGGTCACACAGCTGCTACTGATAGAAACTAACACTTTTAGAGCACTTACTGGCTGCAGAGACTGCTAAGCTTTTTCCATGAATTATTTCATTGAACTTAGTGCTTACAACGAACAACCCTAGGAAGTAGGTTGTTATTATTAGAAGCGGCAGATCCAGAATTTGTGCCCAGGCTTGTTGCCACCAATGTCTAGTCCTTAACCCCTGAGCCTTATACTTGCAGAGCTGTGTACAGAAAGTTTTACAATCACTCTTCCTCTGAGGTCTGGGACCACGTACCTGGGGGTACGTGCTGGAAGCCATGTTCCTGCCAGAAGGTGCTATCATTAGGATCTTAGATTGTTAAAAAGATTTTTTTTATTAAATATGAGCAGATACAGAAGAATATTTATAAAATATGTGTAGGGTACAAAGAAGAGCAGTGCCACCAGCAACCACCATCCACTATTTTTTTTTAATATTTGTTTAGGCTGCTCAGGGTCTTAGTTGAGGCACTTGGGATCTTTTTTAGTCGCAGCATGCAGGAACTTGTTTAGTTGCGGCATGAGGGATCTTTAGTTATGGATGCAGACTTCTTAGTTGCAGCATGTATGCAGGATCTAGTTCCCTGACCAGCGATCAAACCTGGGCCCCCTACATTGGGAGCAAGGAGTCTTACCCACTGGATCACCAGGGAAGTCCCACCACCATCCACTTAAAAAAAAAAATCACTTCACTTTGAAGTCCCCTGTATGCCTTTATTCCCATATCTTTCCTCCCTCTTCAGAAACTTTGGTTTCACTGTTTATTTAGTTTTCTTTATATGTAGCTCTATCACATATTCTTTTTTTTTTTTTGTCCAGTCCTCTTGGCTTGCGGGAATCTTAGTTCCCCGAGTAGGAATTGAACCCCGGCCCATGGCAGTGAAATCGCGGAGTCCTAACCACTGGACCGCCAGGGAAGTCGCACACGTATTCATTTTTGTATTCATAAAACATATGTTGCTTAGTTTTATGTGTTTTTAAATTTTCTATAAATGGAATCATACTGGATGTATCTTTTTTTTAACATCTTTATTGGAGTATAATTGCTTTACAATGGTGTGTTAGTTTCTGCTGCGTAACAAAGTGAATCAGCTGTACATATACATATATCCCCATATCCCCTCCCTCTTGCATCTCCCTCCTATCCTCCCTATCCCACCCTTCTAGGTGGTCACAAAGCACTGAGCTGATCTCCCTGTGCTATGCAGCTGCTTCCCACTAGCTATCTGTTTTACATTTGGTAGTGTATATATGTCAGTGCCACTCTCTCACTTCATCCCAGCTTACCCTTCCCCCTCCCTGTGTCCTCAAGTCCATTCTCTATGTCTGCGTCTTTATTTCTGTCCTGCCCCTAGGTTCTTCAGAACCTTTTTTATTTGTTTGTTTAGATTCCATATATATGTTTTAGTATACGGTATTTGTTTTTCTCTTTCTGACTTGATTCACTCTGTATGACAGACTCTAAGTCCATCCACCTCACTACAAATAATTCAATTTTGTTTCTTTTTATGGCCGAGTAATATTCCATTGTATACATGTGCCACATCTTCTTTATCCATTCATCTGTTGATGGACACTTAGGTTGTTTCCATGTCCTGGCTATTGTAAACAGTGCTGCAAAAAATATGGGACGTTTCACAAATTTGCGTGTCATCCTTGCACAGGGGCTATGCTAATCTTCTCTGTATCATTCCAATTTTAGTATATGTGCTGCAGAGCCGAGCACTAGATGTATCTTTCTGTAACGTGATTTTTTTTCACTCAACATTGCATCCAAGTTGTGGCATTTAGAAGTGGTTCATTCTTTGTCACTGCTGTGTAGTCCTCTGTGCTGTGGATATTTCACACTATTTATTCATTATAATGCTGACAGACATTTGGATTGTTTCTGATTTTTGCCTTTTTCTTCAGTGCTGCTAGAAACATTCTTGTGCATGCCTCCTGGCATACGTGCGCCAGAGTTTATCTGGGATATAAAACCAGGAGAGGAATTGTGGGGTCATAGAGTATGTACGTTTTAAATTTTTCTAGAGAATGCCACATTGTTTCTCAAAGTGGTTAAGTTGATTAAATCTCTTCATGTGGAGTTTCAGTGTTCCAATTATTCTAGATCCATGAATGCCAGAATCTTAGGGCAGAAAAGAAACAGAGTCCATTTTCCTCATTTTCTGGATGGAGGAAATTTAGGTGCAGGAAAGCGACGTGACTGGGCTAAGGTGATGTCACCATTCAGCAGCAGAGCCTGAACGCGAACCCCAAATGTCCCGACTCCCTCCCCACCACTGCCTTGGGTCATTTCTCTCTCTCATCCCCCTCTTCTCAGGCCGAGGCCCCAGGGTGTGGCCACCACGACCCATCAGGCTATTTCCAGGGCCGGGCCAGCGCTTGGAGCTGACCCAGCCAGGGTTTCCACTGGTTCCAGAGGATGAGGCTGCTCCGCAGACGCCACATGGCCGTGCGCCTGGCCATGGTGGGCAGCGCCTTCGTGCTCTTCCTCTTCGTCCTGCAGAGGGATGTAAGCGGCAGGGAGCAGGCCACAGAGAAACCATGGCTGAAGTCCTTGGTGAGCCAGAAGGATCATGTCCTGGACCTCATGCTGGGAGCCGTGCACAACCTTAGGGATTCAATGCCCAAGTTCCAGATCAGGGCTCCGGAGCCCCAGCATACACTGGCCTCCACAAACCGGACCTGCCTCCCCGAGTTCTATGCCCCAGCTGAGCTGAAGCCCTTCTGGGAACGGCCACCACAGGACCCCAATGGCCCTGGGGCAGATGGGAAAGCATTTCAGAAGAAACAGTGGACGCCCCAGGAGACCCAGGAAAAGAAAGAGGGCTATAATAAGCACTGTTTCAATGCCTTTGCCAGTGACCGCATCTCCCTGCAGAGGGCCCTGGGCCCGGACACCCGACCCCCTGAGTAAGTAGCACCGTGTCCTGGGGTGAGGCCAGGGCTCTGCCAAAGGTGTGGCTGGTATGGCCATAGCCACGGGCTGAGTGCCCGGTAAAGGGCTGACAGGGATTTTAGAGTATGGGCAAGGATTTCCTCTAAGCCTTCACTTTTCCTAATCAATTGCCCTTATCCCAGGGCACAAAAGATTTTGTATCTTTTGATACAAAAAGATTTTGTATCCTCACGTCAAAGATTTTGTGTGGGGTTCGTATTATGGTCAGGCCAGAGGCTCAGGGAGACCTGTGAGAGTGAAACGCAGTTGTGAAGGTGACAGGTTACAGAAAAAGGACCTCTGTCCAGGCTGGGACCAGACGTGGCCTAGGGGTGACTGGGAAGGCCTGACTGCAGGCCACATATTCGGTGGTCTTGCCCCATGCTGAGGCCTGCCCCAGAGACTGCAGGACTCCGCTGCTGAGCTCTTGGCAAAGGGTATTTCCCAACAGCAGCCCCGGTGGTCAGGATTATCCCCACACCTCCTGGTTTCTTTCAGTGAAGACTCACAGGGCCAAGAATTCATTCCAATCTTTATTTGAAGCTGTTTGTACTTTCAATCCCAGGCAATGAAGCAGTTCTTAGATCTTTGAGCCGTAGCCACTTCAGTCTGTGTTCATACTGTCCTCACGTCAAAGATTTTGTGTCTTTCTCATGTAGGCTTTGTCATTCCCAACTCAAGAGTAATACCCTTTTTGGCCTTTTCTCACATGGCAGTTCCCATCCTCGAGTTCATGATTCTTTAGGACTTGGAACCTGGGGTTCCTCAGACTAGGACCTAGTATTGGAGGCCTAGAACATGGAACCACCCCAAGTTATCAGGGCTCCTAGCAGGGAAGGGCAGTGGGCACGAGGGCAGCCAGTGGAGGAAGTCTGGGAGTCTCCTCTGGAAGGCCCCTGAGAAATCTCTCTGATCAGCAGAGGAGGTTAAGAAAGGGCATCAAGGGACTTCCCTGGTGGCACAGTGGTTAAGACTCCATGCTCCCAATGCAGGGGGCCTGGGTTTGATCCCTGGTCAGGGAACTAGATCCCACATGCATGCCGCACTAAGAACTAGATCCCACATGCATGCCACACAATGTACAGTTTCTCTCTAAGAACTAAGAGTGTGCATGCCACAACTAAGGAGCCCACCTGCTGCAACCAAGGAGCCTATGTGCCACAACTAAGGAGCCCACAAGCCCTAACTAAGATCTGTCGCAACAAAATAAATGAATAAAATAAATATATATTTTTAAAAACTATAATGATTAAGAAAAAAAAAAAGAAAGGTCATTAGGCCACATGACTCCTTGAGATCCAGCATTCACACATTCCTGCCCCCAGCCGAGATGGCGTGTGAGAGAGGGTGGCAGTGTGGCCAAGTGCCACAGAGTGGCTGGAGTGGATGAGGATAGAGAAAAGGTCACAGGAAATTGTTTGTGATAATAGTATCAGATTCCAGGGAATTCATGAGGAAATGGATTAGAGAGAAACTGTACATTGTAAAGAGAAAAGCCTTTTCCTCTTTCTTATTGAGTATGGAAATTGTAGTCACTTTTTTTCAGATGTCAGAGTTGCCTTTTATTACTTCCTCTCTGGGACCTCTGGATTGGATTACACTTTATGCAGCACACATATCACTGAGGAAGAGAGAGTCAGCCCTGGGAACTCCTAGAGCAGATGAGAGAAGTGAGGGGGATGCCCTCGGCATCACCACTGGGGCACCGAGCCAGCTCTGGGGAAGACAGGTTTTGGAGTGGGTTGGTTAGGACCTGTGCAGAGGCTCAGAGTAGGTGGCAAATGGTGGGGAAGCTGGAAACCGGGAGCAGCTATTCCCAGCTCCAATGGGGAATGGAGGCTGGGGGATCCAAGGAGCAAAGGATGGTTATAGGAATCTGTGGACCGAGCCCTCCCTGCCCCCGGAACTCCCAGGGACCTGGAGAGCTGTATCTACACGTTCATCCTTGCAGATGTGTCAACCAGAAGTTCCGGCGCTGCCCCCCACTGCCTGCCACCAGCGTCATCATTGTGTTCCACAACGAGGCCTGGTCCACGCTGCTGCGGACGGTGTACAGTGTCGTGCACACCACCCCAGCCATCCTCCTGAAGGAGATCATCCTGGTGGATGATGCCAGCACGGAAGGTGAGGCTAGGGGGCCCCCCAAGGAGAGGCCTGGGGTCTCCCCTGGTATTCTGTGAAAGAGGGCAGGTGCTCCTGAGGGAACAGGCACTGCCTCGTGGCCTGTTGTCTGGCATCACAGCTCATCATAGAGGCTGGGAGCAGGAAGAAGGCAGGTGGGGGCCAGGGGGCAGGTAGGCCGCATTTCTAGAGCCCAAGCTTCATTCACATTTTACCCCAAAAGCTCCAAAAGCTTAGCAGTTCTGGCTTCAAGGACTCCCTTAGAGCTACCAAGCTCAACCCCAAGTTAGAAATGCCAGGAGAGGTCAGGGCAGGGCAGAGGGTGGGGACGGCCTTCCCCCTGTTTCCTGCCTGCCGGACCATTCCCTTTGCTCTTGAAGATTCCACCTCAGAAGCCCTTTGCTATAGTTGGTAATAGACAAGTGAGGTTGCTCGCCAAACTTCCGCCGTTCAAAGCGATTCCAGAAACATCTACGGAGTACTTTGTGCCTGGCACTGACTTAGGCATAGGGGATAGTATGACAAATGACAAATGAGGGACTTCCCTGGCCGTCCAGTGGGTAAGACTCCACGCCTCCAATGCAGGGGGCTCAGGTTCGATCCCTGGTCGGGGAACTAAATCCCACGTGCCATGTGGCCAAAAGAAAAGACAAATGACGCATGAGACAGATCTTGCCCTGAGCAGGCTAACAGCCCCCGTAGTCACATGACTGCTAACAACACCAACCACAATGGTGTGGCCTGTAACACACCCCAACGGACATGAAAGGGCATGGACTTGAGAGTCTGACACCCAGGAACTCAAGTCGCAGCTCTGACTCTTCCTAGCTCTGTGACCTTGGGTGAGACACTTAGCCTCTCTGAACCTCAGTCCCCTCCTCTAAAACTGAAGACAGTGGTGGCCGAGGGCTCAGAGATAGGTGGTAAATGAGATCATTCATGCGCTGCAGAGTACTTAGTCTTGAGTAAGAGCTCCGTGTGCATTAGTTTCATTTTATTCTTTGTATGGTAGCAAGGCGCTATGGGAGGTAGTTATTTCTGTGTGGCATGGCTGGGGCCGGCCACCATGGAGGCCAGATTAGAGCGGCGCCTGAAAGCCCGAGTGTTTAGGGAGAGGAGAGGTGTTGAAGGGCAGTCCCGGAAGAGGGAACTTCCGGAAATAACATCAGTGTGTTTGTGCTGTGGAAAATGACACTAAAAAGAAAAACATCCGTGTGTTTGTGCTGTGGGGAGTGACACTAAAAAGATGTTGAATGAAATCCGTGCCGTGCTAAAAGTATTTATTTGGGGGGGAAAATAAAACGAGGTATCATTGAAGGTGCTTAAGCTGGAGGGTGACCTTATTCAGAAGGATGGCAGCTTTGGGGAGGGTAATTATCAGGAAGAGAGGAAGAGGACCCCGAGTCCAGAAAGGAAGTTCATAAATCACTTGAGCATGGGATGCCAGGGCCAGAACTAGGAAGGGGACTGCGGGACCCATGCATCGGTGGACTGGGGTCCTCCAGGAGCTGAGCCCTCCTCCCAGGTGGCGCATGGGGGCTGGGGCTCTCCCGGGTTGGCTTCCTGTGCCCGTGCTCCCGTATGGAGGGCAGGAACTGTGCGCCCCCTCCAGTGGAGCTGCTGACGCCCCCTCCTCTCCCCCAGCCCCCTCCTGCCCTCTGGGTAAAAGGACTAGGGCCGGGGAGGGCAGTGCAAGGAGAAGCTGAGTATGGGCACAGTTGCGTCCATTTCTTCAGGGAGCTCACATTTCCCCGGGAAGGACAGACCTAGCAGCACTTACAAAGCAAAAGCAGACAAGTACCAGCGAGCGATGCAGTGAAAGGGTCTGGTAGATAAGGAGCAGAGAGATTAGCTTCTGGAAAGGGAGGGCAGAGAGTTTGGCGGAGAGGGTTGGGGCTTGAGAATGGCCTCCGGGCAATCTCAGCAGCAGCAGATTGTTTGTAAAGAGTGGAAACCAATGTATCAGCTGCCCTTCCTCTCAAACTGGGCTCTCTCATGACCCTTCTCCCCACAACCCTGAGCGGCCCATCCCTCAGAAGCTTCTTCCCTTGAATCCCATGTGGTGGAAGTTCTAAACAGTTGCAACCTGTCACTCAGAACTGTGTACAGCCCTGAGGCACAGTTGGGCAGTTCCGCTGGCCAGGCCAGCCAGTGACGTAGTGCCAGTCTGCCACGGAGAGCTTCGAAAGGGCAGAGTGGCCTGTGCCTAATGGAATGGGCTTGGCAAAGAGCCTGCCCCTCTCAGGCCTCCCGACCTGTTCCGGTTCCTTCTGGTGGCCTCTCCCTTATTGCTCTCATACAGCCAACTCCAGCATCTCGGAATCACCTGCCTGAAAAACCGAAACCAGCCATTCTTAGTTTCCTGGGTCCTGGCGTCCTTTGACAATCTGTTAAAAGCTATGCCCCTCTCTCTAGAACAGTGCACAACTGCCACAAGTGTGCACAGACCCACATTTGTGCATGTAATTCCAGGGAATTTGTGGACCCCGGGATAAACCACCCTACCTTGAGGGCTTTGTGACTCTAGAGATACTTTCAGCAATGTTCAGTTCAGCAAAGAAAGAAAAATACCCTCAGATCCACGGTCAGGAATCTCTGCAGTCCACGGTGGGATAAAATTTCCCACACGTTTGACCATTTGATCAGATCACCTGGCTCTCATTATACACGCACACAAACAATGGCTGTGTCTCTGCTGAAATTCAATGCCTTTGCTCTCTGTCCTCCTATCCAGGTGCCCAGCAGCACGGTTTGACCACAAGTGTAAGGGCGTTTGATACTGGGGGGCGGGTATCAGAAAGAGGCCCTGTGCCAGGCTGGGGAACTTTTTCTTTCCCACTTCACAGTCCGTCCGTCCCCAGGCACAGACTTCCCTCCTGCATGGCCAGGTCAGCAGCCGAGGTCCATTGGTCTGGCGCATTCCACAAGCTCCTAAAACCTGGCCCCCCCCCACGCCTGTCAGTGTACCACGCCCCAGACAGGGCAACCTCTTGTCCAAAGCTCTTCCCTGCCCTTGGCAGGGAGGCTGAGTAGGAAAACCTACGCCTCGCTCCTGTGGGAATTCGCTAGATGGTTGGGAGGAAATCAGACACTTACCAAAGACCCAGAGAGCAGAGATATGAACAGGATCCTCTGTGAGCAGGTTCCTCAAGGAGAGAGGAGGAGTGGGGAGACGGGGTTGGCCTGGGAGAGGGGCTGTAGGAAGGGAGGAGGAATCAGCAGGGAGAGGATAGGAGAGGAGGGGCAGCCCTGAAGTCAGGAAACACGGTGAGAAAGGCAGGGGAGGAGCCATTGGGAGCACTTCGGATTAGCCCACGGTTTCCCCCACTGCCATCTCCCCTGGCCGGTCAGAACTGAAGTGAGTGGCAGTTCCTCTCGTGGCCCCCTGAACTCCTAAGAGACACCAGTAATGCAAGTCAGGAATTATTCAAAGCCTCCAATTCTGGTTGAATTACAACTTCCAGTGTCTATTCTAACAGGTAAAGTTGCTTTATTACTGCTATCTCTTACCTCTTTCCTTGTTTTATAATATAGGAAGATGTCTCTGTAGTAACTCTATGTCCTGGATTTTCTAGGAAGGTTTCCGTTCATTATTTTCTTCCCCGTAAAGAAATTCTGCTATTCCCGCATGTCAGTTTCACCTGCCAGTTTAATCCTCACGCTTGGAGATGGAAAGAGGCCGATAATGAGTCTTGATTTGGGTTCGAAAATATAGCCCAGTGTCTAAATGTTCCATCTGGGCAGGAGGATTGTAGAATACGCCCAAAGGGTGTTATACTCGTTCCTTTCTCCTGTTCTCCTTGCAAAAGGATTAATCAAGAAAAATTTCCCAATTGCAGTTCGATTTCAGGCTGGATAGAGTATAGATGGGCATGAAATGAAAACAGCATAAAACGAGAGAGGAAAAGTTAAGAGAGGAAGTCCTCCCTACAAGAAAGGCTTTCTGTTTTGTTTTTCTTTTCTAGATTTTTCAGCAGCCAAAGTAGAGAGGGAGAGTCCACAAGAGAAGCATAAATAAAGGCGGTTCACTGATGTGCTTAATAAGTATTTATCAGTACCTACTGAGCACCAGACCCTGGGCAGGCTCCAGGGTTGTAACTGAACAGTTGAACAAGGTGTCTGTCTTTTTAGAGCTGACTTTTTTAACGGGAAAGACAGAAAATAAATAATTACAGATAATAATAGGTGCTATGAAGAAATTAAATTAGAAGAAAAATAAGAATGCAGGTGATGGGCTACTCAGTAATTAGGCAGCTTTTTTAGTCAGAGTAGCCAAGAATGGCTACTCTGAATGCTCCCCACAACGGGAACAGCCAGCGCAAAGGCCCTGAGGCTTAGTGTGTTAATGGGGCAGAAATAAGGTCAGGATGGCTGCAGAGAAGCGAGCAAGAACAGCACTGGTACAGAGTGAGTTTACAAAGGTGAGCAGAACTGAATCACAAGACCTTTTTAAGCAGTAGTGTAGTGTTTGGATTTTTGAATGTGTGTGGTGAAATATACATAAAATTTACGGTTTTAAGTGTACCATTCAGTGGCATTAAATACATTCTCATTGTTGTGAAACCATCACCAGAACTCTTTCATCTTCCCAAATTGAAACTCTATGCCCATTAAACAATCACTCCCCATTCCCTAGCCCCCCAACCCCTGGCAACCCCCATTCCACTTTCTATGAATTTTACTACTGGAGGTACCTTATATAGGTGGTATCATACAGTATGTGACCTTTTGTGTCTGGCTTATTTCACTTAGCATAATGTCTTCAAGGTTCATCCATGTTGTCACATGTCAGAATTTGCTTCCTTTTTAAGGCTGAGTATACCATTGTTTGTGTAGAACACATTTGTTTATTCATTCATCCACCCATGGACATTTGGATCGTTTCCACATTTTTGACTATTGTGAATAATGCTGCTATCAACATGGCTGTACAAATATTTTTTTGAGTCCCTGCTTTCAATTATTTTGGCTGTATACCCAGAAATGGAATTACTGGATCATATGGTAGTTCTTTGTTTCATTTTTTGAGGAACCATCATACTGTTTGGATTCGTTTTTTAAGTGCAATTTTAAACCACCGTAGTGACATGATGTGATTTATAGTTTTAAGAGAGAACTCACTGTGGCTGCTATGTCACGAGTAGATTGGGAAGAGGAGTATAGAGAACAGGCTGGGAGACCACTTAAGATGTGACTGCTGCAGTGATGGTGGGGATGGAGAGAGAGAACTGGCCATATTTGCTGAAGGACTGTTTGTGGAGGGGGAGAGAGGGGGAGAATCGTGCACGATTCCTAGTTTAGAGCAGCTGGAGGGATGCTGGTACCATGTATTTACATGGGGGGAGGCTGGGAGGGCAGGTAGGGAAGAAATCTGGGGCTCCATTTCAGGCGTGTTAGGTTTGTGGTTTTGTTAGACATCCAAGTGAAGATGGCAAGGCCAGGAAAAACAGCCCAGGAGCATCTGCATATAGAGGGTATTTCAGACATGGCACTAAGGAAGGCATGTGGGGGGGGGTGTCACAGGAGTCTCATAGACTTCAGCCGTGAGGAATGAAGCCGGGCTGGGGTGGTGTGGTGTTGAACCTAAATGAGGAGGGTCTCTTCTGGGGGACATAAGGGAAGATGGTTGGGACCGTCTGTCTTTCCACACTCAGCTCTGCTGCACCCAGCTCTTGGGTTGATGTCCAGTGGGTCCAGGGAGGGGCCTGACTTAGGAGAGCTATCTCACCCCCCTCCCTGTCAAAGGGCCTGAGGCTCACGCTTAGAATTCCCAGGTCCCACCTAGCCACCTGAGATTGGAGGGAAGGCATGGGAGAAGGGCTCTGTAGAGCTTAGGCTGCCCTGACGTTCACAGCTCAGTGCTTGGCGTGCTTTTACCACAAAACCCACTTCCTATGATGTTTTGTCCCTGGGTTATCTTCACACCATGAACTTCCTGTAAGCACAGTTATGTTCTCAGGGGAAATATCCGCCGGCAGCCGCACCGAGAAGGTTAGACTCCCACACGGGGATCCTCCCACCTCCCTGTTAGAGCCAGCACTCGGGGCTGTACTTGGAGGATGAGCCTAGGAGCTCTGTGAAGGCAGGACCCAGACCCCGGCCCTTCCTGCCCAGGATAGTGGCTGGCACCTGGCAGTGTGTTCACTGGTGTTTTCTAAGTGAGTGCTGGGCTGAAGCTGCCAAATGAGGCTAATTTTGACTCATAAACAGTGGGGACAATACTCGGTATTTCATAGCGCTTTAATCTTCACAGAGAAGATTAAATAAGAAAGCCAAGGGCTTCCCTGGTGGCGCAGCGGTTGAGAGTCCGCCTGCCGATGCAGGGGACACGGGTTCATGCCCCGGTCCGGGAAGATCCCACATGTCGCGGAGCAGCTGGGCCCGTGAGCCATGGCCGCTGAGCCTGTGCGTCTGGAGCCTGTGCTCCGCAACGGGAGAGGCCACAACAGTGAGAGGCCCGCGTACCGCAAAAAAAAAAAAAAAAGTCAACATGGAAGCACCTGGTTCCATGAGTGGCACGTAGTAGTGCTCAAGTATTTGGGCACTGTGTGTGTGTGTGTGTGTGTGTGTGTGTGTGTTTGTGAGTGTGTCAAAGGAGAGAGAGACTGACTTCCCTGGCGGTCCAGTGCTTAAGAGTCCGAGTTTCCACTGCAGGGGGCCCGGGTTCCATCCCTGGTGGGGGAACTAAGATCCCGCATTCTACTTGGTGTGGCCAAAAGGAAAAACAAAACGAGTAGAGCGAGAGATCAATCGCGCCTCCACAAAACTGACTTCGGACCCCAATTTGTGTGACACTGCATTGAGAGCGAGGCCTAAGCTCTGGGCCGATCCCACAGCCCTCAAGAGAAAGGACACACCCGCCCTGTGCCGCCACTTCTGAAACCACAGGCAACTCCATTCTGCACAGTGGGGAGCAGAACAGTGGCACAGATAAACCAAAACAGCAGTTACTGAAACATCACTAAGATTTGGACTATGTTCCAAGGTGGATTGCTTCAGAATAGGGCTATATTTAATGCTCTGAGGATTTCCGACTAAATAACAAGAGTCATAAAGTGAGCCCCCTCTCAGAAGGGGCTGGAGATCTCAGCAGATACCCCTCCCTTCAAAGCGCTTTCCCCACACCCTCCAATTCAGGATGGTTGCCCCTCCTGGAGACTCCCCCAGCCCTGCACCACCTCTGGCAGGTCACTTATCACCTACCCTGCTGTGGCCCGTTCCCTGGGTGGCAGGCACACCACTGTGCCTGGCTCGTGGAGGTGCTGGGTACATGGTTTTTAAATGTAATTAAAAAGTCGCTCAGCATCTTTTCATCTTCCTAAAGAATTCCGTGTGCAGAGGTGGTAATAAAGAGGATTAGAGGAGAAAATATCCAGAATACACACAAAAGGAAATGAGAAGGGAATTCAAACGTGTTACAAAAAATCAACAAAACAAAAAGGAAGACAGTAATGGAAGAAATGAGAGACAAAAAGGGTATTAAACATATAGAAAGCAAATAACAAAATGGCGAAAGTTGTATTTCCCTATCAGTAATTACTTTAAATGGATTAAACTCCCCAATCAAAAATCATAGATTGGGCTTCCCTGGTGGCACAGTGGTTGAGAATCTGCCTGCCAATGCAGGGGACACGGGTTCAAGCCATGGTCTGGGAAGATCCCACATGCCACGGAGCAACTAAGCCCGTGCACCACAACTGCTGAAGCCTGAGCTCCAGAGCCTGCGAGCCACAACTGCTGAGCCCGCGAGCCACAACTACTGAAGCCCGCGCACCTAGAGCCCGTGCTCCGCAGCAAGAGAAACTACCGCAATGAGAAGCCCGCGCACTGCAATGAAGAGCAGCCCCTGCTCGCCAAAACTAGAGAAAGCCCACACGCAGCAACGAAGACCCAACGCAGCCAAAAATAAATAAATAAATTTATTTATTTTTAAGAAAAGAGGATTAGACTAAGACTTCTTGCTGCTGCCCCAGAAGCCAGAAATCAATACTTGTGTCCACTCTACCTATCAGACTTACTCTGAAGAGCCTGGGAGACAGGGACTCAGACAGGGAGAAATGACTGCCACAACCCCCAGGTGTGGAAAGGAAGGGAGGCCCGAGGCCCAGCTCTGAAAAGATGGGGGGCTGGGAGGGTGCAGAGACCAAGAGGGGCATCTGAGAGCCTTTGTCAGAAGTTGATACTTGATTTGAGACCAAAGAAACACAACTCTGAGGTCCTGTCTCAAGACATCAGAGAAGGCGCCCCGGTAAGCAGACACAGGATGGGCCCAACAGAGCCAGTGGAATGTCCTGGCAAGGCGGCCACGGGCAGTGAGACCACACAGGGGACCTCATCCTTCCACCCCCGCCCCCAACCTTGGGCTTCTGTGGAGTTGCTCAGCGCAGTGTGGGCGGGAGGGTTAAAATGCAGGCCCGCTGGAGCGCCCAGACTTGGTGCACACGGGGGATTAGGTTTGCAACAAAGTGGTGAGCTGGCGACAATGACCCTGTCCCTTCCAGAGTACTTGAAGGAGCCGCTGGAGCAGTACGTAAAGCAGCTGCAGGTGGTGAAGGTGGTGCGGCAGGAGGAACGGAAGGGGCTGATCACCGCCCGGCTGCTGGGAGCCAGCGTGGCCCAGGCGGAGGTGCTCACCTTCCTGGATGCCCACTGTGAGTAGAAGAGGGCCGGCCTGGCTCTGTCCCCCTTCCCTCCCTGGCAGAATGAAGAGCTGGGACCATGGACTCAGCAGAGCACCTTCCGGCCCTGCTGTCTCGGGATCGAAGCAGGCTTGGGACTCCCCTAGCTTCTTGTTCTCCTTTCTCACCCCAGTGCCAAGGATGGTTATCAGGAGGCACACACAGCCCTAAAACAACTGGTGACCCCACAGTTACTGGGAGTGTGTTCTGGAGCCCCAGACGTTCCTCTCTCCCCCCACCATCTGAACGTCATTCTGAGCTCAGCCTCCCGGAGAGGCCTCCTGTCGCCACTGGGCACTGGTTGGCGTGGCACTTTCCTGCAGGGCCACATGGGGCCAGAAGGCCTGCTTCTTGCCCCAAAACAAAACACTTCCCCACCATTGTCAGGGAAAGAAACGTTCCGTAAAAGCAGTGATACATATTCTGAGAAGCTATAGCCTTGGAGTCAGAAGCCCTAGATTTGCGTCCTGGCCCTGCCACTAACCAGGCCTCAGTTTTCTGTTCTATCAAGTGGGATGAGGATGCCAACCTTACTCACCAACAAAATGAAGGCTAAATCAGGTCATATGTACAGTTCATCGAAAATCCCAAAGGGATGATTATTCTACAACTGGAGCTGAAGCATGAGGTGCAGAGATCCCTGGGAGAGGGGACACCCCCCTGTGAAACCCACACTTGGGTGGGGAGGGCCGACTGAGTGGATAGGCTACAGACCCTGAAGACACCCTTCCAGGGCCTTCACTGTGCCTTTGGGTCCACCATGTTACTCCCCAGAGACCTCCATTCTCCCCTCCAAAGCCACCTCCACCTCTTTTCGGGGGAGAGGGCAGGTGTAGGAGGGTCCTGGGAGATCTCTGTCCACTCTCTGTGGCCGTGGAGCTTGCACGTGTTTCCCTGTCTACAGCTAGGGAGTGAGCGCTTGTCATCCTGGGGCTCCCCGCTGGCGGGGGGCACGGGCTCAGCTGTGGGCAGGACCCTGACTGATGTCTCCTGGTGCCGACCTGCAGGTGAGTGCTTCCATGGCTGGCTGGAGCCCCTCCTGGCTCGCATCGCTGAGGACGAGACAGTGGTGGTGAGCCCAAACATTGTCACTATCGACCTGAACACTTTTGAGTTCTCCAAGCCCGTCCAGAGGGGCCGAGTCCAGAGTCGTGGCAACTTTGACTGGAGCTTGACCTTCGGCTGGGAGACCATACCTTCACATGAGAAGCAGAGACGCAAGGATGAGACCTACCCCATCAAGTAAGTACTGTAGCCTGGTGGGCCCACATCCTGGTCTCCATGGTCCCAGGGACCTGGGCCATCTCAGGTCAGCATTTATGAGGTGCTCTATGAAGCACTTGACATATTTAATCGTCATCCCCTATGCGGTAGATACTGTGATTAGCCTGGTTTGCAGGTGAGAACACTGACGCTCCTGGTGATGAACAGCTGGCCTCAGACTATACACTAGAAAGCGGTGGAACGAGGATGCCCATCCCGCCAATCTGGCCCCAAGCCCGTGTCCCCACCATGGCTCTGTCCTACCTATCACCATAGCAGCTGGCTCTCACTCACCACCTTCTGTGTGCCAGGCCCTGGGCTAAGGGCTTTCCACACCTTATCCCATTTATTCCTCCCTAAGTGTAGAAGGGTGTGACTGCTGCTTTCAGAGAGATGGAGGGTAGAGGCCATTGTAAAATAGCCATTATAATAAGAGGGGGTGGTGTGTGCACCCAGGTCACCATCTTTGAAAAGACTGAGAACATATTAAAGGAAAATAGACAAATGTCCTGCAGTTTACAGTGTGTTGCAGTTGCCCTGAACTTTTTCGGGAAAAGGGCTAGATAGCAGATATTTTAGGTTTTGCCAGCTACAAAAAATAACCCCTTCAAAATGTAAAAAACATTCTTTGCCAGAACCTTAAAGCCAGGCCAGCTTTGACCCACAGGCCCCAGTCTGCCAACCCCTGAGCTAGAGGGCAGATGCTTGAAAGTTTATCCATTGTTTGATGCCCAGCTGGGTTTGCCTGCCCCTCCCTCTCCAGATTGCCTGTTGGTGTTGTTAGAGACCACAGCCGTCTCAGCTAAACCGAGCTGGGGGGTGACTTTTAGAGTACCCTGTGCTTCTGGATTATCTGTGCCATTGCTTTCCTATACTGGCCAGGAAACTGAAGGGTCAACCAAATATATATACCAGGGATGGCGGGAAGCAGAGTTTGGGGATACGGTGAGCAGAGATAAAAGGGAAGGCTTTCTACCCATGCACATGCCCAAATCCTAAGAAATGCCCAGAGCCACAGTAGAGAGGGCTCGGGTGGGCCACAGGAAGGAATCCCATGGTCCTGAACAGCCAGCTGCACTGTGTCCTTTCGAAGGGGCAGAGGGGAAAGGAGAAGGCAGGAGAGAGAAAAGAAATTGGAACTCCCTATAGACCCTCTGCTTGATTCATAGATGTCTTTTGTTTGAGGTATACATCAACAAAACCCCCTTCCCCCAAGCTGGGGGCCAGGCACACAGTGGCACAGTCAGGGACAGGGCACCTGGCCCCCACCCATCACTGACGTCCCCCGCTCTGATGTCTGAGGACCGTACAACTGGAAGACAAAGCTCCAGTGTTTGAGGAATTAATTTGCTCCCTGCTCCCTGGTGGCATGCAGGGCTTGCCTGAGGCACTTTGCATAGTACCCACCAGAAGGCCTGCAGGCAGCACCCTCCCTTCCTCCACTCCCAAAGTCAATGGGAGGCCAGGAGGAGAGGTGAGGGCCCAGGGGACCCTAGGAAGCAGGCCAGGAAATGCAGAGTGTTTCCAGAGGTTGCCTGTTGGTTGTGGGTCTGCAGCGAAGTTCCCCGTGTAGAGTTTATCCTCAGAGATAATTTGTCAGTGGCTTCTTGGTCAGAGGGACCCTCTCAAAGCCAAGAGACAGGCCCAGGTCGGGGAAACCCTGAAGAAGTAGCAGGTTAGGGGCTTCCCCGGTGGCACAGTAGTTAAGAATCCACCTGCCAATGCAGGGGACATGGGTTCGATCCCTGGTCCAGGAAGATCCCACATGCCGCGGAGCAACTAAGCCTGTGCGCCACAACTGCTGAGCCTGTGCTCTAGAGCCCGTGAGCCACAACTACTGAGCCCATGTGCCACAACTACTGAAGCCCGTGCACCTAGAGCCCATGCTCCAAAACAAAAGAAGCCACCGCAATGAGAATCCCACGCACCGCAACGAAGAGTAGCCCCCGCTTGTCACAACTAAAGAAAGCCCACAGACAGCAACGAAGACCCAATGCAGCCAAAAACAAATAAATAAATAAAATTATTTTTAAAAAAAGGAAGCAGCAGGTTAGTTCCAAAATGCTCATCTAGAATCCCAGGACTCTCTGAGGCTTTCCTGGCCTTACTTGGGCTGGCTTAGAACCCCTGGGAGAGGCCACAACCAGTGACAGAAAGCTTGCCTGAGCTTGAGGGTTTCCCAACCGAAATTCCTTCCAGAAAGTGGCTGCAGGAGCCAACTTCAGGGTGACGACAGCAGCCATAGGGTAACGCCAAGGTCCTGGGTAATAGCCTTGACCAGTCCAGTGAACACTGAGCCCCTGCTGTGTGTGAAGCACCTTGACCGGTTCTGCGCTGACAGAGGTTTCTGCATGGTTGTGCCACATGGAGCCACCCACTGAGGGCAGCAAAGCCCCATCCAAGCCAGCCTGGCGTGGCACAGAGGCCAACAGCTAACGATCTGTGTGCACTCCTGCCCTGTCTGCCACCCCCGCCTTCAGCCCTTGGCCCCGCCCCTCTCATGAGCAACGTGGTATCTAAGTTCTAGATGTTTTTGTCAATTTATCTAAACATGGGTCTGTGCCTCCCTGCCTTTGTCTGAAAGCCAGAATCTTGTTGTAGCCCCCAAATGCTCCCTGTAGTTCAAGTTGAGCTTAATTTCACCTCGCTTCCTACTCTGTTTCTGGGAGCACCTATGTCCAAAAACAATTTCACATATCTTCTGATAACCAAGTATCTACTGTGCTTTAGGAACTTTGCTGCCAAAAGGCAAACGATTGTGGCTTTTCCCTCAGCTACTACACTGAGTTCTCAGAGGACAAGATCTGTCTCTCTTTACTCTGTACGACTAACACGTAGCACAGGCCCTGGAACCCATGTGTAACACATGCTTGGTTGAATGAATGAGTGAATGAATGCCTTTTAGAAGAGAGTAATGGTAATTACATCTCTCCTCAACCTGATCTTAGAAGGTGAAGAGAACATAGTAAAAGCTCAATAAACATTTGCTAAGTGCATAAGCTAGTGGAAGAGGGGCTGCATATCCCAGGTGAGAGGAAAGGAGGAGGGAGGGAGTTTAGGAGGCGTCATCGGTGAGTTCACAGCTTTCCACGCCAGGTTCTGGCCCCTCTTCCCCCCAGAAGATGCACATGCTTCTCCCTCTGTCTCTCCAGATCCCCGACGTTTGCTGGCGGCCTCTTCTCCATCTCCAAGTCCTACTTTGAGCACATCGGTACCTATGATAATCAGATGGAGATCTGGGGAGGGGAGAACGTGGAAATGTCCTTCCGGGTGAGAGTGAAGCGGGCTTTGCGGGGGACCCACAACGTCCCAGGGGACGGCCTGAGACCCTGTCTCTTAGGCAGTGCCAGGGATATCAGTTCTTCAGCTGAACTTGGAAGGGTGGCTGTTTCCCGTCATGGCTCCACCTTCCCTCTGCCCCCTCCCTGTCCATGGCAGTAGGGCCTTGGGAGTCGGATTGGACAACTGAGAACAAATTACTGGGCAGAACTCCTCAGAGGGAAGGGGTAATAGAGGTAATAGGAACCAGACATCTGGGGACTGGTGACATCTTTCATGATGTCTGTTGGAAAAGGGTTAGGGTGAAGGTGGAACAGGTCAGTAAGCAGTCACTATCCTTTTTCTGGAAAAATCAGGCTCTGCTTTCCAGGTCAGAGACCTCATGCCTTGGTAGCCTTAGGAGTTTCCCCCCACCCTGTGTTCAGCAAGCTCTTCATAACCGTAGGAGAAGATGATGGCCAAATTCTGGTGGGCCCCAGAACTCTGAGGGATTTCAGGAATAAGGAAAATCAGGATTAGGTTGGAAGAAAGGCTTGCCTTTGCCTCTTCATGACATCTACACAGATCCCCATCCAGTGGAGAGTAATTAACAAGCAAATGAGCTTGTTTATGAAGTCATCTCTCACAGTGCTTGGCACATACAAGCACATCGTTGATACCTGCTGTTACTATGGCTAATGATTATGTATTTCTGTTGCTGCTATACTAAAATGAATGACAACATACCCCCCAATCTAAAACCTGAAAGGAGAAGACACAGGTAGAAGGGATCTCGTAAACCAGCCCTCTGACGGAGGAGGGTCACCAGCTCAGTCACCATAACTCCCGTGGTTCTGATCCTTGGCTCGTCCATGAGCCTCTGACCTCTGTTCAGTCTCTCTGCAAGGAAGCTAGTGTGCTAAAGGTCCAGGTGATCACAAGCCACCTGATGGTAGCTATTAATTAATGAATTGATGCTTTGATTAGGTCACAAGTTGATCTCGATTTGGAGCAGCTTGAGTTTCCAGTAACACCTGCGTGAGCTGATAAAATCACATTTCCAGGTCAAAAAGCCAGGTGGGGCTTCCCTGGTGGCGCGGTGGTTGAGAGTCCGCCTGCCGATGCCGGGGACGCGGGTTCGTGCCCCGGTCCGGGAAGATCCCACATGCCGCGGAGCGGCTGGGCCCGGGAGCCATGGCCGCTGAGCCTGCGCGTCCGGAGCCTGTGCTCCGCAACGGGAGAGGCCACAACAGTGAGAGGCCTGTGTACTGCAAAAAAAAAAAAAAAAAATAGCCAGGTGGCCAGAGCTCACAGTAGGTAGATGTACATAAAATTTGCCAACTGTCTTTTCTCCAAAGTGGGCCCTGGTAACCCTCAGGACCTTGCAAATTTCTGTTTGCTTTAATCAGAGTGAACCAACATCAGGGAGCCAGAGATTGTGTAGTTATGGCCTGGGAAGAAGCCTGGTCAGTGTCTTTTTTTCCAGCGAGAGAGCACAGTGCAGCATTTCCCTGAGTCCGTGGACCGGGGGTCTGGCACCCTGGGAATGGAACAGAGCTGCTTGGTGGGGAGGTTTTCCCACCCACCCCCTGAAAACCCCATCCCATATCCTCTTACGGCAGGTGTGGCAGTGCGGGGGCCAGCTGGAGATCATCCCCTGCTCTGTGGTCGGCCACGTGTTCCGTACCAAGAGCCCTCACACCTTCCCCAAGGGCATCAGTGTCATTGCTCGCAACCAAGTGCGCCTGGCTGAGGTCTGGATGGATAGCTACAAAGAGATTTTCTACAGGAGGAATCTGCAGGCAGCAAAGATGGCCCGAGAGGTGAGAGGGGAGGGTGCTCAGGAGGTGTTTAGATGAATAGAAGGGCAGAATCCCAGCCCCTGGTCAAGAGCTTAATGATGACATCTCCACCACCTGGTGCCTTTACCCCTCAGACCTTGGGAGCTAGAGCCCAGGCTCTATTTTGGAGGCTAGAGAATGAGGAGAGGAGGCTTTGTTGTCCCTGCCTGGGGAGCCCCAGTATCTTTTAGGAGGGGAGGGAGAAAAGATTTGGAGGAAGAACCTCTTACGGGAAGAATGGCCTTACTCTGTAAAACTAGGAATTGAGGACTGGGAGAAAAGTGGGAGTTCACAGGAGATGGTGGTGGTGCTATGGGTGCGGGTCCCAAAGCCAAGGCAGGGGGTTTGGGATTAGATGTGGGGCCCAGCTGGTCCTGAGCAGGAA